ATATTATTATATAAAGTTAACTGAATTATTATTACCAACTCAGTTTATATTCTTAATATTTTCCCCAAGAAGCAGCATCTTCATCATTTTGTTTCATATGTTGGTCAATAAGTAAACCATTCTAATCTTTCATCTTTGTCAGTAAAAAGTAGGTAATTAGTCAGGAGGTTATTAGAAAATACTTAATGAATATGAAAAAATACATGTGTCAACATGCTAAATATGTACTGTATTAATAGAGGTCAYAAAGTTTACATGTGTTGAATTTTGTTTTTCTACATTTGCAGCTTTTTCTTTAGGATTTTAATGTAGACAATAAGGTGTTACTAAAAACTATATTATGAAACAACACAAATTAATTGCAAAAACTAAACTGCTTGTTTTAGTTGGGCTTTATGTTTTCTTACAGTAAAATCAAGATGTTTTTTCTTCTTTAATAATCAGGTTGAACTTTCTGCTGGCACAAGCTTTTGTCAGGTTCTTTCATATTTTACTTTGAATCATTCACACGTACCTTTGTGGCTGCCATAGCTCTCTGAAAAACAAAGTGTCTCCTCTGTAACTGAATTTAAACTGAGAAACATGCTTTCACAYGTGTGTTCATGCAGAGAGAAACACAAACACATTCTGGAGATGGTCTGTTAGCAACCTGTAGAAATACAACACCACTTGGCCAACGTTTTATTTTTCTTCCCTTTTAAAAATCTACTTATTCCAAATGCTTTTCATTTTTCATTTACTGGTGATTTATATGCCCTTAAAAAAAAAAAAAAAAAAACTTGACAAACTACACACGCATTTGTTTACATACGGAAAGCTGTATGTAAAGTTGAATTGACTAAAAAACTTTTGATCTTATTGGATATATTTGTTTACCTAAACAGACATGGTCAGTCTATGATGAAGGTTAATCATGTGACTCAAGCTCCATGGGGTTTACAGTGGATTTAGAAGAGCATTTTGCTTACATTTACAACACATCTATTCATTCAAGCATTTAGCTGAAGGTATCCTGCCRTCCACAACATAAATCCTGAACCTAAATTTCCATGACTGCAAAACATGTATTTTACTTCTGACTGGTATCCATTCATTTACATTTTATACACCATGACCATCAAGTCCAATTAGTTACAGGCAAGCCCATCTATTTGTACAGCGGATAAAATAAGTATTGAACATGTCACCATTTTCCTCAGTAAATATATTACTTGAGG